GCTTACTATAATTGAATGTTGATGCATCAACGGCGGAGTGTATCTCAAATGTAATAAGTTTCGGCCACGAAAGTATCGGACATGCACATGTTTTATATCATCGATTGAATCCTTGTAGTTCTATATATTTATAATTGAATTATTTATTTTATTTATAAATTACTAATAGATTGTAAGTTGCAAGCACAGTGTATTATTTATTTATTAATTAATATCTCGTACACATTGCTTTGCACCATAGACGTGCTAACATTGTTGCAAGTACAGCGTATTTATATGTATTTAATAACTCTTTACTAATAGCTCATACGCTGCAAGCACGGTGTATTTATTGGCAGATGAGTTAAAACATACGAGTTATTAGTAAATATAATTAAAATAAATAATTAAATATAAGTATATGTAAATAACTAACAGGCTCAATCAATAAGAAACTAAAACAATTCCCGGGTGTCAAATGGCGACAGACTCTCGTCCACTGTATATCTCATACATATTACAATTATCTTATTAAATTTGTCTGATGTTAGAACTCACAGGATTCTCCGAAATACTGACACCAAGTGTACTTGTAATATTGAAACTACCAAAATTCAACAACCTAGCAATATCACGAGCACCTGTGTTTTTGTGCGTGTTTACAAGACGTGGAAGTTTAACATGCAAACACTAGACGTGTCATTTTCTTTAAAGGATTGGCATTCGTTTGCTTGATTTTGTACATAATACGTGTCGCATTTTTGGTTATTCAACTATTCTCTTTACTAGAATAAAATATGGAAACATAAACGAACACCTCATGAATGACCACGTCTTTTTACCTAAAATATTTTCTAAAAATAAGGAATAGTTGATATCGTCACAAAATGAAAACATTGGCCCAATTATTAAATCAATTGAGCTGGTAGTTTTCAAGACGTCGACGTCGTCGAAAGTAGCAGTTTTTACCAAAATATTGACACAAAATTTGAGATCCGCCAACTAAACTAGTTATACTAAACATCAAACACTCATGCTACTGGTTTTCAAGAAGAAGATGAGTATGATATTGTTAACGGTAGGACGGCGACAGTTAATCAGTATAATATGATCAACTTCGTTGTTGTGTCACCTTCGATGACAGCGGAGCTAAAAGTTTGAAAAATAATAGTATTCTAGTCGCAAATAAAAAAAAATTGTTATAAGGCAAGACCCCAAAAAAATACTTGTTCATCGGACCCGCGCGCAAAAAAATCACTTGACCGTTGGTGGCGCTGTTACAGACTCTCGCTTAGTGTGAAACTTCAGGGCTCATACCACTAATTGAATTTCCATAGACGACAATGTTAACATATGACGAGATTGCTATATGAAAATGACGAAGGAAGTTGAAAATATGGCTCAAAAATGGGAAATCAACATGCCAGTAATCAACCATATGAAAAAAACTAACATGTTGGCCAGCTCAAACTCTTGCAAATCTCAGGTAAACAAGACACACCTACTGTATTTGGATTGCACCAAGAGAAATCACTGGAAAAACACCAAGATTAGAACATCCATTAACACACAGAATAAACCCACAGGTACACAGCCGCTAAGTAGTAAACAAAAGACCACATGTTGGTCTCACCTCTGACCCAGGTGATTACGCCCTCAAACAGGGAGCACCTGAGAAAAATAATATTTAAAAAATTTCATTGGTTCTTGCTGGGCATTTAAATTGAAAGCCATTGGTTAATTAGTGGCATGAGACCTTCAGGCCGAGTGTTGTCTGTGCGTCCCCAAAACGCATCATACGATCGGTCGGCTGTTCTATTCGTGACAGTAGCGTCGACTGCTATCTTTTATCTGCATTGCTTCATCGATTTTGATTCCTGCGTGATGGTTAATACATCGAATAAAGAACTTACAATATGAGTGTCTGTGTATGGTGTAAGGGTGGAAATGTTTTAATGCCAAAAACGTTGATCTCTGTGTTATTTGGATCAGACATTTACTGACTTGCATTCAAAATGTCAGTCGATGTTCTGAAATAAATGAAGAATCCATAGAAAAAATAGCAATATCTGATATTCGTAATATACATAACAATGTTACTGTGAAACCAGATATAAGAGTTTTGGTTTGTGATGACCCTGGACGTATATTTGGAATGTCAGAAGATAATATTTGTACCCAGTCAACGCGGAGTCAACGCCAGTAGCTAGTAGAAATACAGTGCAAGTGAATACATTTGGCAAAGAAAATTGAACCGCCTCATTATGGTAAAAAATGACTTAGTCCTCATATTCTGTATATTGATGTCATTGATTTATTTGAAAGCATGGAAGCGGATTGGACAAAAAACAACATTGAAGTGGCAAACCAGACAGTTACTACAGTTCGTGATTGCCTGTGGTATATTGATAGTCACCATGAAAAGTTTCAAAACCGCTCTTGTCCTATTCCTGATGCATTCGGCCAATTTTATGGATACAATAAGTGGAAAAATTCAAAGGCATAAAAAACCTTCTATTTTTGCATAACGTTTAGAACGAATTAGCCAGGACATTGTAAAAGTATTGGATACTCCATCACATAAAAAAATCACTCTTCGCTTTCAACTTTTAAGTAAAAAAAAATCCTACTAATGAAACAATACAACAACGTACTGTATTCGTCATATTTTCAATTGCTACGTTAATGGTGTTTGGCTGAGTGTGTACATTCAATATTATTTTATCAAAATGGTTTACAACAAACCATGATAATACTTTTTTCGTATGAATACTGTAGAATGACTAATTTTCACTGGGTTTAATTTCGCTGATTTAGCATTTCAGACATATTCAGTGAGTTTTAAATTCAAATTTGTATCATTTAGATAATGTGTTCTATGCTAAATTTTACATATTACATATTTTCCAGTCAGCGAAATAAGCAACATCAAAACCCAGTGAACAGTAGTATATTTCTGTTATTTTATCTTTAAACACAATGTTTTGGGCATCATACTTGTATTTGTCACTATAATGACTTGATTCACTTGATTCTACATCTGTTAAAGTAATGCGCCATTTACGTTCGAAGTTAACTGGAGAAGTCCCAAATATTCTGACTTTTACAATGACATGTATAGACAATAATATCTACACATTGTGCAAGTGTCCTCGACAAGCTTTGTTCTTAGTAGAACCACGGTTTCCGGTAGAACACCGAGAAGTACATCACACGGGAACTGATATCGCACGTTAATGTGCGACATTAATTACTGGCTTGATACATGCTGTGCGTCACACATACCCATAATATTTGTGGCAGCGGAAGAACTGTGGCACTGAAATGCATGTGTGCAAGAAAACTGAAATGCGTGGTGCAATACATGTGCATTGCGTCTGCTGAGAATAATCATGGTGGACAACAGTAATTCAACAGGAGCAGTTGAAGGGTTGCAGTATAAAAACCTATTTTTTACTGTAATTTGAACTTTTATTTTTATTTCCTGTAAAAGCGTAAAATGCCTTTTTTTATTTTCTGTAACCTGTACAGGCGACCCCCCTCCCTCTTGTCAACCTTCTTGTTATAATCACACAGAGAATCTAGCATACTTATTGATACCATAAACAACGAAATGATCACTAGTTAGCTAAATCTCAAAATAAATATAACCTGTAAACCCTGTAAAATGGCTGCTGTACATCAAAATTATTAATTTTTTATGTTTCTAAGCATAACTCAGTCTACGCATCGACCCTCTAAAAGAGTGTCTATAGTCTACGGCAACTTTATTTTTGTGAATTTTAAAACGAGGCTCCTCATTAGCTTCTCACTTGAATACAGAGAATCCGCCTTGTGACGGTCTCAGAATCGCAAAAAAAAGACAAATCATTTGAAACACTTACTCGACGTCAAAAGTGTTGGTATTGCGCCAGGTTTAATCGGCGCTTCTCTTTAAAACCTAGTTGTTGTTTTATGGACGAGGACAGTTTTTCGAAAAAAAGATTCTCAGAGGTAAAGTGGACACTACGTACTACTCGTACCTGCATCTATATCTTGAAACTGAAACGGGGTCCCAAAAACTCAAGTGTAAATATGTTGATTATTCGCATTGATTCCGGTACATATAAGTCACAAGCACGGGTTATATTCACTCATACATTTTATTGCAATATAATATATATTTCACGTATTTTGATAATTTTCAATTTGTAAATATATAGTTCAGTAAAATATCTCATATACCGAGAAACTGTAGTGGAAATCTGTACCACCCCTGGTTGGTCGGTGGGTGTAAGGCTGGTTATGTGTCTGTGGTGGGTTTCGTTAATGTGCGTTACGTACCTAAATATTTATAATTACAGATATTTTAGTATATATATATGTGTGTGTGTGTGCACTATTTATGGGTTGTTCATGTGTATTCAATTGGATACTTAACCCATAACAAGCAAACGGTGTTTTACTTGTTTCGTAACGGTCGGCTTTATCCAGCAAATGTAGTAATTCCATCACTCAGCCAAAGTGTCGTAATATAGTTACTTATTACTGTACTTTTATTGTCAAAGGGTTTGTACTTAATCATCTTTCTTGAAGAAAAAAACATCTGACAATTACAGTGATGCGTGATGTAGATCTTGTCGCGTGTTTCGTTATCCACCAATTCTCAAAATGTTAGCATTGAGTATCAGAAGTTTAAATTATGTACAAATAAATAAATAACAAGAAACTGTCACATTAATTGAGTTGAAGAGTCAGCATACACGGGTTATAATGTCCTCTTTGAGAGTATACTGTCTTTTCCTACCGGAATCTCTTACTGCGGGCTCTACGGAAACGGCTGACAAATCGTCGTGACGCGATGATATGTACGTTGATTCACGTCATGTCGGAGATGGGGACATCTCTTAATTGTTTAATCTGAATACACCCAATGCTTCAAACGTCGTCACCTGGCGTGTACAACAGATTCAATGTAAGATTTCATTGTCTGGAGAAAATGTTTTCGGCTACTGTCAATGGTTGGTCCAAATGAAGAGCTAAGTATATGATAACATGACACGTTAACAATCTCTGTTACGTACGTCCCATCACCTTCGTGTGTCGTAATCTCTTTCATTTTGTAGACGAGTTGAACAGTCACGATGCCTCCCATCATGGATATACTTCCACCAATCTCACTACGAGGTCTGCAAAAAAAAGATGCAAGAAAGTGCTTCAACATGGGTAATTTTTATATACAGAAAATTACAGGGCAATTCCCTGTGAGCGTCTTATTCAGTGTCGTCAGGAAGTACAGTTCGCGTTGCCCGGGCCAAGGCAAAATATATCAAAACAACACGCACGCGCACGTGCGTCATTACAGTGAAAGACAGAATGCTGTACCTTAGTTTATAAACAGTTTTATAACAATATACGCTCGGTTATTATATCCTGCCACGCTCCTAAATATCCTCGCTTGTCGTTTATAACCTCTAATTTAGAACTCGCAATGATGTCGTCATATAGTTTCTGGGTTGATAAATTTTAATTCTATTTTTATTTATGAAAATTGATTTTTATAAAACGTTTATAATATCCCTAGCTTCATGCTTTTCATTGTAGATAAAAAAAAATTATAACTACCGTTCAGTTCGGAATTATTTCTGATTTGAATAATGTTAAAACCTACAACATTTGTTGGAGTACTATTATAACGTTTGTTTGGTTTGAATGTCCGGCACAATGAGTGGTCTCTCGATTGCATATGTTGATTGTCAATGAGTCTTGGGTACAAACCAGTTACTTGTTCTAATACTTTCTCAAAATATGTATTAAATTTGAATATTCAAATCAAGGGAGAATGCGAAATAACCCGGCCACTTTTGTAATGTGTAGACCACGGCACGTTACTCACTGGACACATTGTGTGAAAGCATGGCACTCACAAATTACGTGAATTACAACTTAAGTCTGAGGCACAAATATACTTTTCGTCGTAATTTTAATCATTTTACAATTTCATTTCGTGTCGAAATTGTCACAAAACGCGTAAATGATTGACGAATTCCGCAATGCACCGGGTAAAGACACGACACTCATTGAACACATTACAATCATGGTAATCTAGAGTGTTTTGTGTAGCGCTAACTCGTGTGCTCTGACTGCTACCACGTACATGTAATGCCATTCTTTATCTCAGTCCCTTTATAGTGTATAGAGGGGGTGTGTTGCTCGTTAATGTGTTAAATGTTGTTATGAATGTAAAGTGGCAAATCTCAGAATTACTTAATTTCGAATAAATATGACTGGTAGATTTGTTGGACAATTTCCAATTATTCAACATCCATGGAATGTTTAAGAGATTCAGTATGATAAGGTAAAACGAATGAAACGTTTATCAAATAATATTGTTTTACTTTTCAACCGTTGTTGCAGTCGCGGCATTGACGCACATGCAATCAATACTTCGAGAGTTAATGTTACGATTTTTCAATCAAGAATCGCCGTCTCCGCGGAACACACGTTGTGATATCTGGAAAGTGCTTAGAGGTAATTATGCCTTGCAAATCTGGGTTCGCGTTAAAAATATTGTCGACAAAATCTGACTGGGAGCGTACTGCTTTTAATGACGTAAACATAGTTTTGGTAAAAGCGCGACTTTCGACAAATTTAGTTGTTTTCGTCTTTCTTGCAATTATTCACGTTTTATTAATATAAGCATTAACGATTACGTACCTTTCCTTGTTAATGTACATCTCAATGTTGACTGGAAACCCAAAGTACTGTTCTGTTAACACGAAGAAGATTCGATTGGGTCCTTCATCGTTTTCCTCCGTACTTAACAACTGCCTAAAACAGTTAAAAGTATTAAGTTAGTTTCAAACACTTGACATGTGACATGAACGGCCGCATATAAAAATTGTCTAATCACTTTATGTGATACGAACGACCACATATGAAGAGTGTACAACCACATTTGTGACATGCCCGTAAACGACCGCATATGGAAATTGTAC